GATAGGACAATATTTGGCTGAGATACAACTATTTGAAAATCTGGAATCTGAGGGTGCAAAAAAAATCTAAATATTGAGAAAATTGCCTTTAAAGTTGTCCAAATGAAGTCCTTAGCAATGCATATTACTAATCAAAAATTAAGTTTGAATATATTTACAGTGGGAAATTTACAAAATATATTCATGGAACATGATCTTTACTTAATATCCTAATGATTTTTGGCATAAAAGAAAAATCAATAATTTTGACCCATATAATGTTTTTTAATTTTTTTTAATAAAATGAGATTCTTTTTAACCAGGGGGTCATTAGTGGCGGATATCAAATCTTGGAGGTAGAACATCACAAAGATTATTTTATAGGTAGTTATAGCTTATTTGCACACATCATAAACTACAGCAATTATCCAAAATACACCAAAGCCAACTGACAACAATTCTTTAGACCACAAAAATCAATCTCATTGTTATTTTTCTTGTTTGTATGGTTTTATTGACTTATAAAAATGACTAGTTTTCTAATAGTTATTACATGGAATAGCCTGTAACACAGTAGTGATTATGAATTAGAAATTGTTTTAACACCCATAATAAGAGAAACACCATATGGAAATATTAATATGAAAACAACATTTATAGATAAGATATATGATTCAATTTCTGTCCTGATTCACTCTAGTGATAATTTAGCTGATTGGTACTAACTGAAACAAGATGATCTTATTCTCTAAATGGTTGTGTTATTTAAAAATAATGATCATAACAATCATGTCAGTTACAGAGTAGCAAGTTATAAAAAAGAAAAGAGAGAATAATTGTGTGGTTTGCTAAACAGTTTAGGGGACCTAGGGTGAAATATTGAATGTAGGTACAGATGTTTAAAAGTGTGTGATGTTGAGATTGTGCTTAAGTTAATGCTCTAAGATGAACAGGGATAGACTTTAGGTAGATTTATGGTCTGTTTCAACAGTTTGCTGCACAAATCCTTAAAACAATTTGGCAATTGAGAAGCATTTGGTGAAACAGTGATCTCTTTGTTTGTTGTTATTGGGTTCTTATGGTGTGGATCAGGATTACTTAAAGTTTTTGTGCAAATGCAGTCCAACAGTTCTCCCTGAGACCAGTGATTTTGTGTGTTTTTAAATCTAAAGTGCGTGTGTGAAGAATATGTGTGTTACATTTCAGTATGCAGTAGTCCATCCATGTTAGCACAGGCCCTGTTTCATTGGTTATAGGCCTTTGAGAGACTACAAACATGTTTGGTAACAAAAAGCTGTCAGTTGGTCACCGTGGGCTGAATTCCCAAGTCATTACAGTTTTTAGAGCCCCAATCTCAGCATCTGCTTCATATATGCTTGCCTCCTCTTCATCTCCTGCTCCAACTGTTCTTTCAGTGTGCAAACCTGAGAAACACACAGCAGTTATTGCAAAGCAGTCAAGTATTCATTAAAGGCTTCTAGCTGTTGAATGTGATGTAGATGTCACTATTACAATCCATCACATTTTTACAGCTTTCTCAAACCTGTTCCTCCAAGCAGTGGACCCTCTGGCGGTGAGCTTTCTCTCGGGCCTCCAGTGCTCTCTCTGCCTGTTGCTGGGAGTCCCTCATCCGCTCTGTCTCCAGGTCCAGCTCTTGCCTGTGGCGAGCCGTCACTTCCAGGAGCCTCTGGGAGTGAGTCTGCTCCAAGATAGAGATCTGTGACTGCAGAGACAACACATAACATCCTGTCACAGACGAATCACATGACTCATTTTTGTATTATTATTAGTGGTGCTTCTTAAAACACTTTTACTACTGCTCACTAAAGTAAATCCCTATATAAATAAATAAACTCCTGACCCTGAGAAGTAATCTTGTTTTACAAAGTTTGGGCTACAGACATGAATATGTCTGTATACATCCGTTTCTATACTTTTCAAAGCAATTCGACTTTAAATGGGCTTGTTTGTTTACTTGGGACCAATAACCAATCACATTTTATTCAGAAAATGAATCTAGCATTAATACAATGCTTAATCTAGCATTAATACATTAATTAGCATTAATACATTATTATTATTATTAATGTAATGCGATATTTTTTCTGTAATCCATCTATCCTTTTTTTAAACGGCTTGTCTGTACAGCCGTGGGGAGTCTATCCCAGCGATTTTAGGCAGTAGCAGGGAAGCACCCTGGATAAATGACCAATTTATATTATTATGATCAGATTTCAAATGGCGAGGGTACTAGATGCTGATCCATGTATTATAAAATTCATAATATTCGTATGTATCTCTATCACCTGTAGTGTGTGAATTTCGGTCTGTGTCTCGCTTAAATCTTGCTCTAGATTTCGGATCTTTTGTTCTTGCTGTTCTCTCTCACGCTCAGCATGCAGTACCTCCACCACCTTCCTTTGGCGATTCTTTTCTACCTGCACACAACACACACATGCACACAAAATGTATCAACGATCGAAATCTGGTGTGAGATACTGTCACATGCTATACATTTATGTAGGAGGATCATTTTATGTTTCACTTATACAGACAAGATAGACAAGTCAATAGCAAACACACACAAACACTCCAAAACAAACTCTCATGCAAACGTACCTCAACCAATAATACTAAGAGTAGTTAAGGGTACAGACAAGACACTCTGATTAGTTTGCACAAATTAAACATCACAGTCTATGACATAAACAACAAACTATTTGAAAGTCATTATGTTTGACTGTGCATGCTATTTATAACAGCATGACATG